CAACTCAATTGTCATCCATCAAGGCGTTATAATCAGGAGGTAGACTCAGCATTATACTGTAGCCGGGAGGTACCTGGGGGAGAACCTGTTTAGAAGGATGAATTTTTCTTGCAAGAGTTGAAGTAGTTTGGCCACTTATATTTAAAATCAAATACATCATTCATCTTTATTGATAGAAATACCTTCAGTGTAAGAAACATCAAATTATATTAATCATGTTTTTTGTACATAGGTCAGAAAAAACTGGGAAGAGTGGCCACTCCAGATCCATGGAAGTCAGGTGCAAAGGGTGCAAGTGGTAGTAAAACTAGTAAGATAATAAAATATAAAACATGTTTTTGCTCCCTCTGTTCTCCTGGGAAGTGAGTATCTATGTGTGTTTATGCTTGACCAAAATATAATGTGTATGGCCATCCATCAGCTTTTTTTATTTATAAAGAATTCTCTTTAAAAAAAAATCTTGAATGACATAATAAATCTTGTTACCTAGGGCCTGTTTCTACTGATGAGAAAGAACCTTTCTTAAAGCCAGACTCGGAGGAAAAAAAGGGTGGTTACGCCCCAGTTTCTCCATTAACCGCTTTCAAGTTTTTTTGTGTCTTAGAAAATTTGTACAACATATCAAAATTTATAGTTTTAATTTGACACAAGGTCAACTTAGCTGTTAGGCTAGGCCTATGTCTGGTACTACTAGAATTGTAACTGAGAGTTAATTTTTATCAGACATTGTAAAATACTTCTCATTAATTTATGTCTCCTACATGATTTTACTTTTAGACATATTCATAATTTTATTTCTAACAAATTAATTTTTAGCTGGCAGTGGAAGAAAGGTTGGTGAGAACAAACTATTAACAGCCTCAAAATCAAAGTAAGTAATTAAAATTAATTTGCGTAATGACACCATGTTGATCATTGCGTCAAACCATAGACAAATTAGTTAAACAAGGGAGTTGTTATGATTATAACAAATCCTTAGTTAAACTAACTTTACTTTTTGATGGTACTTGGGTATACTATTCTGACAGCCTGAACTTTTTAAAATTCAATTTAAATACGTATTTCACACATTTTTTTACAGGTATTCACCATACAGTAAATCATTTGTCAAGTGTCATATCTGCAAGCAGTCTGTACACCAAGTTGGTTCTCATTATTGCCAGGGTTGTGCCTACAAAAAAGGTATGTCAAAGGTAATCATTTGGTGTACTGTGAATTTTTCATTTTAGTTTTTTATTTGTTTCATCACACGGCAATACAAAGAGAAAATTCACAGACCGATGCAGCGGTGGCAAAGAGAAAATGAAAAACCCAAAGAATTTCAGCACAAAATAAATTAAAAACAGAAGCATGGCATAGATTATTCAATTCAATTCAATTTATTATATCATTTGCAACGCATACATTACATCACATAGAAAATATTG